CCCAGTTTCCCCCCACCCCTTTAACCTTTCCCCCCCCCATTCTCTCCTTACCTCTCTATCCTATCCTCACGGTTTGTCTAAATTTCACAACTTTCTATCACAATGATTGTTCTCTCTCTTTCACTGTAAAAAAAATGGTATAAAAATAAAATAAAAAATAAAACTCACATGGATTCTCCGGTAGATGATAGAGAATTGTTAGAGAAATTGTTCTGATGGTGGTAGAAGTGGGTAGACATGGCAGTTTAGTCAAGAGCTGTAGCTCAGAGGACGTGCGTACTCCTTACATTTAGAAGGTTGTATAGCTTTCTGCTTTGTGAATCCAAATATTATGACTGACTTTGGAAATCATGTATTTTGACTTGGGGGAGTTGGAATGCCATTTGTCACTCTTTATTAGGCAGCAGAATATGTTGGAAGATTCCTTCTGGTCTCACCCTCAATGGAGGCACAATTGTTGACATTTTGCACTTCACATTCACATTCCAGAGCCAGACCAAAGTGATTTGCTTCCTTCAATACATTCCACACACGTAAGCAGCTAATTTTGAGAGTGGAGCATATGCTATGTGCCATACATAACTCTGTCCTCCAACCAGGCATGTAGTCGGGGGGGGGGGGGCTGGGCTTCAGCCCCCCCCCCCCCGAAATTCTCATGGTGGCCCGCGAGAAGGCCTTACTGGTGCATTATTTAAACTGTTATGTTTATTCATATCATGATCTGATCACCATACTCAATATATCCCATATGCATGGGGGTATTGGGGTAACGATACAAAAGGTTTGCTAGGGTAGACCCTCTTTCTCTCAGACTCAGCCCCCCCCCCCCCGAATCGAAATCCTGGCTACGGGCCTGCCTCCAACAGTAAGAAAGAGCTAGGAGCTCAGGAGTAACACTAGGAGTTACTATCCATCCCTTAGCAATTGTTGCCTAACACAGCCACTTTCTCCTGTCTAGTAGTGGGACCAATTTTTTTTCATGGTAACTGAGCACTCTTTTATTTATGTAATTAAATAAATTCCCAAGTGTGGGCAACGACACAGAGAAAAAGCTCATCTACTGAACGCTTTACTTTCTTATATTTGGTATCTTATCTTTGCTTGCACAAGAGAACATTTAATCTCCTGAACCTACCCATGCCTACAGCCATAAGCAGTAAACCTTTGCCCCAACTATATATCTCTATGGCCTGATGCAGGCTTAGATTTCTAATTTGCCTTAAAACATAGAGAGGAAAACACCTCATCACTTGTTTTGATACATGTTTCAGATAAAACCTGATGGACATGTAAGAACATGTACACAACTTTCTCTGTGCCTTTGAACGGCTTTCCCAGACTACTTTTGGGGTGTTTAGGTTTTGTTTGTTTTTTAAAGAAGGCTTTCAGACCTGTTTCTGAAATCTGCATATGAAACTCCCTTCATAAGTGGCCAGATTACTCAACGGTGTATGAAATAGGCTGGCATCCCATTCAGGGAATTAGTTCAGTCTTTTAGCATTGGAGGAGTAATAGAAATAGAGTAAAGTTGGCAGTTGTGTAACAACAATGCCAGTAATCTTCCTCCCACATGCTCAAATCTGTTTAGTTCTCTGGGGAAGGTTGCGACTATCAAAATAAACTTTCTCCTACTTCTGACAGCAAAGGCCATATTTAGGGACTCACAGAAGCTTCTTTTCTGTTCTTGTCTCCCCACCTCTGGCTTCTCAGGGATTGTACAAAGCCAAAAGACGAGAGTGTTATGACTGTTCAGCCACAAGAGTCAGAAGACGTTTGTTGCTGCCAGACTGTTGCTTTTTGTCAGGCAGATATCACACACATCCTATGTCCCAACAACCACTTGGGGACATGAGGTGGGAGGTGGGTGTGAAGTCCATTGGGGGACACTATCGAAGACAATGACACCAAAATGACTGCAACTTTTTTGTGCAGCATTTCAGCAGAAATTTATTGCGTTTTTAAAAACAAATCTCTGAGAGCTTAAAATTTACTGAAAGATAATTCCTAAAGAGTAGCATTATAATGTGTTTCCTAAAACTGATCTTCTCAAAAACTTTGAAAAGAAATTTATTTATTTATTTATTTATTTACTTTATTTGTATACCGCACTCTCTCAGCCCGTAGGCGACTCAGTGCGGTTTACAACCAAACCAATATACAAAGTGCACAACATTAGCAATTAAAACAGTAACTAAGGCAACTACATCAATATAACAATACATCAGTACATCAATATAACATCAATACATTAGGGCTGGGCGGTTTCGTTTCGTTAATTCGTAATTCGTTAATAATTCGTTAATTTTTTCAATTACAAAACGATAACGAACCATTCTGGAGCAATTATTAAAAAAAACGAATTTTCAAAAACGTTTTGTAAATGCTTCGTATTTCGATATTGTATTCGTTTCGTTATTGTTTTGAGGTCGTTTCGTTATTATTTCCGCATGTCTGGGCCAGTTTTATGGTTTAATTAGTGAAAAAAAATTATAATATCACACCAACAGTCAACAACAGAGGGAGAGGGAAGCTTCAGAAGGTTTTGGAGGTTTTTTAGCGTATTTCGCGGGTGCGTCCGCCATTAACGAATCGATTCGTTATTGTTTCGGAAATCGATTCGTTAATTTTTTACCATTTACGAAATTTCGTCAATATCGAACTTTTTAAAAAGGAAAATTTTGTAATTATTTTAAATATCGAAACAAAAACACCCCCCAAATACAAATCGATTTTAGAACCAAATTTTTTCTTGATCAACCAGGCCTACAATACATCCATATAACTAATCCATCACGTCTCATCAGTAAAGTCATAATCCGATCTCCTCGTCCACTATTCCAAGTTCCAAGATCAATCAATTAATTGCACTGCTTAATTAAATGCCTGTTCAAAGAGCCAGGTCTTCACTCTTCTCCTGAACGCCAGCAGGGAGGGGGCCGATCTAATATCTGCGGGAAGGGCGTTCCACAGCCGAGGGGCCACCACTGAGAAGGCCCTGTCTCTCGTCCCCGCCAGCTGTACTTGTGAGGCTGGCGGGATTGAGAGCAGGGCCTCCCCAGACGATCTTAATGTCCTAACTGGTTCGTAGGGGGTGATGCGTTCGGACAGATAGGTCGGGCCAGAACCGTTTAGGGCTTTAAAGGCTAAAGCCAGCACTTTGAATTGTGCCCGGTAGCAGATTGGCAGCCAGTGGAGCTGGCGCAACAGAGGAGTGGTGTGCTCCCTGAGTGCCGCTCCTGTTAACAGCCTGGCTGCCGATCGTTGGACCATTTGTAGCTTCCAAGCAGTCTTCAGAGGCAACCCCACGTAGAGAGCATTGCAGTAGTCTATACGGGATGTAACCAGTGCATGGACTACCGAGGCCAAGTCAGACTTCCCAAGGTACGGGTGCAGCTGGCGCACAAGTTTTAATTGTGCGAATGCTCCCCTGGTCACCACCGAAACCTGGGGTTCCAGGCTCAGCGATAAAGAGAAACTTCTTCATTTTTCAATTGTTGAAACTTAAAGCACACATACGAGGGGTATTTTTAAAGTAAGGTCCGTTTTGTTGTAGACACTAGTAGTTCACGTGCATACTGCAACGAGCGCATGCGTCGTGTACTGGCATGCCTCGGGAACAACTGTGCTCAGTTTCCGCTCTGTAGCTAACCTGTACGGTTCTGTTCTGTGCTTTAAAAATGTTTAAGACTATCAACTCACCCTCCGCATGTGAGGTTCGCTCAGTGATACGGTTTTTGTCAGCAAGGAACCTGCCTGCTGCAGAAATTCATCGACAGATTTGTGAAGTGTACGGTGATATTGTTATGAGTGAAAGCAAAGTGCGTAAGTGGGTACGACAATTCAAAGATGGCCGTGACAACGTCCATGATGAGGACCACTCCGATCGCCCTTCTTTGATTACAGTGAACTCTTGGTTATTGGAGCAGGTGGCAAGTTTTTATGAAGAGGGTATTTTAAAATTGGTTCAGATGTATGATAAGTGTTTGAACAAACTTCGCAACTATGTCGAAAAATAGAGTGAAGTATGTACTTTCTGAAAATAAATTTACTTTCTGAAATAAACTTTCGTTGTATACTTATGTTCAAATGGACCTTACTTAAAAAATACCCCTCATACATATATTCCAGCTGTCAGCCCTTCTGTTAAATCAGGAATCAGCATTTTTCTATTATTTTCTACTGTTCCTGGAGAGTTTCTGCTATTTGTTCAATTTACAAAAGGCAAGCTCAAGCAACTTCACAACTTCTTAGGATGTTTGCCATAGATGCAGATGAAACATCAGGAGAGAATGCCTTTAGAACATGGCCATATAGCCGGAAAAAAACTACAACAACCCAAGCTCAAGCTGTTTTGCAAGATCTGTGGCCCAAACTACTTGGCCAATTAATGTGTAAAACCAACTTTATGAAAAGGAGCTGCCCAGATTTTTCAAGATTTGCTTTTCACCTTACTGCTGTCATTTGGTTTCTTAAAGCTCAGTTCAAGAACATGTCTTCTGAATTGTTTAATGTCTATATAGGAAATACCAACAGTCTGAATTCAAGCTGAGGAGTTAAAGTTAGAAAGTAGTGCAAATTGTTGTCCCAACTACATATGTGGGAGAGCAGTCAGAAGAACATTTGACTCATTCCCAAGAAGACGATCTAGACACATCATGATGAGGAATTGAAAATGACTTTCTAAAAATAACACACAACTCTGAAGTGATGGGGGAAATTATCCACATTCTTTTAAAATTGTTTCTTAAAAGGTTGATATTTTAATGTATTGTCAAAGGCTTTCATGGTTGGAATTACTGGGTTGTTGTAGGTTTTTTCGGGCTATATGGCCATGTTCTAGAGGCACATGCCTCTAGAACATGGCCATATAGCCCAAAAAAACCTACAACAACCCGGTTGATATTTTCCTAAAGTTATGTCCTGTGTAAATATAGACTACCGTGGTGTTAACTTTGATGGCTTACCGAAAATACAGAACACCTTCCCTTTCTCTTTTACAGGAAACGATAATTGAAAATGGCACTATCGCTTTTGAGAATTGGGTTGTGCCTGGGAGTCCAGTGTTTAGGCAGTTCTGGTTCTTTGATGTTCAGAACCCAGAAGATGTAAAGAAAAATGGGTCACAACCAATAGTTAAACAGAAAGGCCCATACACCTACAGGTAGGCAAGATGTTGTGCAATTAATTGTTGATTTGTTTTCTTGATTTGAGGGTGAGTTGCTTGGTGACCATGAGCATTCTACTTACTTTTTAAAAATAACTTTATTACAGATTTCAATGCATATAAAAACCAGTGGAATTGGGGCGGAAGAATAGGGGTAGGGAAGGTTGGGGGGTAGGTGGAGGGTAGGTGGGGAAGGGGGACAATGGGACCGAATACGCGGAGGGAATGGGGGGGCAGGGTGGAAGGGAATGGGGAGGGGCAACATCGACAAGCTCCAAAAGGGAAGTGGGGAAGGGTTGGAATACATAAAAAGACTTCCAGGTTGAACAGACAGATAATTATTTCACTTATATAAAAAAAATTGCTGATAGCGTATATCAGAGTCTTTCTTTTAGGTCGTCGGATTGCCAATTAAAGTTTCGTAGGGCATTGTCTTTCTTTTTCGAGATATTCTATGAAGTGGCTCCAGTCCGTATGTTTTTCCTTAAGTCCATCGGGTGATAGCCTCTGAGTCAGCAGGTCCATATTCATCACATCATAAGCTTTTAATGTCCATTGCTCTATTGTAGGGACCTCTCTAGATTTCCAGAGACGGGCCAATTGGATTCTGGCCGCTGTCGAGAGGTGGAAGAGAATCTTACTATCATTGCTGTCTAAGTCAAAATCAACAATACCCAACAGAAAGTATTCAGGTTTCAGGGAGAATTTCATTTTTAAGATTTTTTCAACTTCTTTGTGAATTGACCTCCAAAAGGTTTTCACCTTTTTGCACTCCCACCACATGTGTATAAAAGTACCATTGGTTTTTTTACATTTCATTACATTACCTTCTACTTATTGATTGTACTCCCCCCCTCCCTGCTAGTCTCTGAATGCAGATATAAGAATCCCGATTCTAATCCAGTTACAGAGCCATTTTGGAGATCTCTCCAGGGTCTTCAGAATGCATGCAGCACTGGTTTCCCAGTGTAGATGATCAATGAGAAGAATATATTTTGATGTCTTAAACCAGCATGTCATAGTATGGAGCCCAGGCAGCATGCAAAGTTAGTTAATACAGAACTAGTTTAAGTTTGATATGTATAATGTTTCTTACTGTACGTATATAGTTAATGCTTTCTGGCTTGGACCTGATTTGTTCAGCTCCTGTTAAATGCCACACTTCTCATTTAGACCATGAGAATGAAACATGCACAACAGGAATGCGTGGCCTGTAATTCTTAGACCCTATTTTTTGTAGCACTTGAGTCTTTATTCTGGTTCTTCCAAGACTCTCAATTTTTATCAACATGATTTTGAGGGAAAACCATGTAAAATAACTCCCCCTCCCAATAATAATAAAATAGCCACACCCCCACAACTCCCAAATATTTGTTACTAGCTTGGGAACCTGGTGATGCCCAGGTTACTTGAGAAAGGCATTGTTTGTTTTGGGAAGTTTGGTAATATCTCTGGATGCAGGGTGAACTACAACTCCCACGTGGACGGGTCATTCTGTGGCAAGTGTGGTCCAGATCCATCGTTGGTTGGGTTCACAGTGCTCTCTAGATGTAGGTGAACTACACCTCCTCTAAATCATGGTAAATTCTTCCCAAACTTGTTCAGTTGCTGATCAATTCCTGTTTGCTGTGTGCCATAGGAATGGGTAGGAAAGGGTTAAGTGAGAGGCAATGGGCAGGGTCATGCCAATTTAGGGAGAGAGGGGAATCTTGGGATGTCCATTCTGGAGAGAAAACAGAACATCTAGGATTAAATGGTCCCTGAATGAAAGCATTCCTTGGATGGTTGGTGTTTGGGGAGGACATTGGCAAAGATTAGGGTACATGTTCACGACACTCACTATAACCTTCAATGTCAGTTGAAGGAGTGCCTTTGGAGGCTTCTCAGAACTTGGAACTATAGCCTGTTTGTGGAGCTGGGAGGTTGTCTGTTTAGGTGGACACCTCCACCACATACACACATTTTCACTTTTATTATGTGTATAAATAAGTGATGAGAAGCCACTTCCAGTAATGATTTTAGGAACTCTACAGAAATAGAGAGGTGGACATGGAAGGGAAGGTCATCCGTTGGGGGTCTGAGATGGAATTGGCTCATTCCCACATAAAACCAATGGAAACTCAATCAAAATTTCTTACTTGTTCTGGATAAGGCACACAAAGTATTATCAGAAGTACTACATGGAAACCAATATGGATTTTAGTTTAGTAAGTCTTTGTTTTCAGCCTTACTCTCATTGCCTTTTGGTTTTAACGAATGTTATTATAGTACACAGATGTCTGTTATGTAAAGATCATAGAGATACTTTTAATAGTGATATAGCCACGCTGTTCATTAATATTCATCTTACTAGGTGCATGAAAATGTGTAGGAAATCTAGTAATATGTACATATACATCCATACACAATCCAGGAACATGTATGTGGGCTGTGTATTGTGAGTGATTGAGGATTATGGGTGCACAGCAATTTTTTCATCCCTATTTGAAAAGTAGGCCTTTGCGGTTTCGTTCGTTAATTTCGTAATTCGTTAAACATTCGTTAATTTTTGCATTTACGAAACGATAACAAACCATATTTTCAAACCCGGAAGGGTTTTTAAATATCGAAACGGCAACCCCCACAGTTTTAACGAGCTTTCGCCCGTTTCGTAAATGGGGCGGGCGGGGCGAAGGGGCGGCGCGAGCGCGCACCCAGTGAGCCAAGCCCCGCGCCTGCCTGTTGGGCGCGAGCGCGGCTCCCGATTGGCCGGCCCGCGCGCGCTCGCCCTTAGGGAGCCAAGCCTTGTTCCTGCCTGTTGGGCGCGAGCGCGGCTCCCGATTGGCCGGCGCGCGGAGGCCGGTTGTCTCTTTAAGGCGCCTCTCTCTCCCAGCTGTGTTGCAGGAAGTGCCAGGAGGAGGAGGAGGAGGAGGAGGGCGTAGGAGCCGGAGCCGGAGCGCAGGAGCCGGGGAGGGGATTCCTGCAGCGCCGGCTCTGCCTCCGTGGCCCGCCTGAGATGAGTATTTGTGAGGTTGGGACTGGATACAACTGGAGATACATGCAAGAATTAGTGAAATGGTGAGAATTCATGCCTCCTGCCATTTCACAGCATTTCTCTCCAGTTGAATGAATGAGTAGTAGCATCACACCCACTGCCTCAAGAGCAGAAGCAGGCAACTGCCAACCCTGCTGCCACTATCAGAACTGGCTGCTCATTACTGTGTTTCCATCAATCATAGGAGGGACACTAACTTGGTCTGAGATCCAACAATGGAAGCAAAGGGGATAGGAGAAGAAAGCTGTTGATTTCATGGGGTCTCTCTTCCAGGCCAGGATGGGAGGTTGTTGCCATCCCACTCTCTATACCTCACTTCCGCTGAGTGGTTGCAGAGGCACAAGAACCAGGCATCCTTCTACTAAAAAGAATTTTAACGAATCGATTCGTTATACCCTTAACGGATCGACCCCGCGCCAATAACGAAGCTTCGGAAGTGTTTTTACGCATGCGCGGGGGTCCGCCATCTTTACAAAATGTTTTGTAAATATTTACGAAATTTCGTAAATACCGAAACTTTTTTTTGGGAAAATTTTGTAATTATTTTAAATATCGAAACAAAAAAACACCCCAATTACAAATCGATTTTAGAACCAAATTTTTTCTTGATCAACCAGGCCTATTGAAAAGGTATCTTGATGCATCAGGATATCCTATCAAATAATAATTGTCCAGTTCTAGGAGATTTTTCATAATGTGGGAGGAGTTGTGAAAAAAAATCCATTTGTGTATTGTCGAAGGCTCACCTCTGAGGATGCTTGCCATAGAAGCAGGCGAAACGTCAGGAGAAATGCCTCTAGAACATGGCCATATAGCCCGAAAAAACCTACAAGAACCGAGAAATCCATTTGTGTTTGATTTTTTTGCAAAAAATTGCATAGATTTTGGCATAAATATTGCAAAATGTGACGAGTATTGAAAATATGCACAAAACCCCTTGAAATCCTTTTTGAAATTCTCTATTCCTGCCTTCTTAAATGGTTCAGATTTACATCCCTAGTGAAGATGAGATTGCTCAGAGTCTCACAAAGAATATTAGTTCAGCTGTGGAAAAACAGGCCAGTGCTATTTGTCATGCTTTCCATTTAATGTTTATCACTGAAGTATATTTTTTTCCTTTTGTAAGGATACGATATTTAGCCAAAGAAAACATCACCCACCATACAGATTCCACAGTGTCTTACTTCCAGCCAAATATTGCTCAGTTTGAGCCTGATATGTCCATTGGGCCAGAAAATGACACATTCACTTTGGTCAATCTTGCTGTTGTGGTAAGTAGTATCACTGAATGGGATACTGACCTTCTGTTCTCTCTCATATGTCCATAGTCCAAAATATACAGGGTTGGGACACAAAACAAATTGGAAAGCACTCCAGAATTGATAGCCATTTGTACAAAATGATGTTTTGTTTGGCAAACAAACAAACAAGCAAACAAACTAATCACAGCAATAGAAGTATATTTTTTTCATGAGTAGCAAAAGTCCTATTGAGCTTTATGACTTTACTAAAATGTAACCTGGGTCTACCTTGTATGTTTACTGTGTTGGGCTCAAGCAACCACAATAGGAACTGTCAAAATAGTCTTAATTATAAACTATTTATTTATATTTATTTATTATTTATTTACTTTATTTATATACTGCTTTTCTCAGCCCTCAGGCAACTCAAAGCGGTGAACAACATCAATACAAAGCATTACAAAACAGTATCAGGCAATTAAAACAATTTTAACATAAATCACTAACTTCAGTATAACAATCATTAGCGCCTCAACAGTAAAATCAGAATCCAGTCTCATCATCCATTATTCCATATTCCTATGTTCAATTACACTGTTTAATCAAATGCTTGTTTGAACAGCCAGGTCTTCACTTTCCTCCGAAACGCCAGCAGGGAGGGGGCCGATCTGATATCTGCAGGCAGGGCGTTCCACAGCCGAGGGGCCACCACTGAGAAGGCCCTGTCTTTTGTCCCCACCAAGCGCGTCTCTGATGAAGGCGGGACAGAGAGCAGGGCTTCCCCAGATGATCTTAGTGTCCTAGCTGGTTCATAGGAGGAGATGCGTTCGGAGAGGTAAGTAGGGCCAGAACCGTTTAGGGCTTTATAGGCTAACGCCAGCACTTTGAATTGTGCCCAGTAGCAAACTGGCAGCCAGTGGAGCTGGCGCAACAGAGGAGTAGTATGCTCCTTGAGTGCCGCTCCTGTTAGCAACCTGGCTGCCGAATGCTGGACCATTTGAAGCTTCCGAGCAGTCTTCAAAGGCAACCCCACGTAGAGAGCATTGCAGTAGTCTATATGGGATGTAACCAGAGCGTGGACTACCATGGCCAAGTCAGACTTCCCAAGGTACGGGTGCAGCTGGCGCACAAGTTTTAACTGTTTTTTATATATGTATTTATTTAACATGGAAGGCTGTGTGTGTGTGTGTGTGTGTGTAAAATCTCTTAATTAGCAGTGATTATATCATGGCAATATACAACATTGCCTTGGGAGCGCCCATGTGTTTCCTGAGTGACAATGAAGAAAAACTTAAAACAGATACATTGTTTTTATCACAGGCAGCACCGGCTTTATATCAAACTTCATTCATGCAAGCATTGTTGAATGTCTTCATAAAATCCTCAAAATCAGAATTCCTTCAAACCAGAAGTGTGAAAGAAATACTCTGGGGCTATGAAGATCCTTTCTTAAAGAAAATTCCAATACCAGGAGTTGTGAAAAAGGTTGGCGTATTTTTCCCAGTAAGTATGCCTCCTAAGGGAGAGGAGTTGTTTATGCTGGAATCCTGTAAAAAAAAAAATGTAGTGGTCATGCTACTTTCAGCACCCACCTTGCACTTCAAAAAGTAGATAATAGGGCTGGGTGGTTTCGTTCGTTAATTTCGTAATTCGTTATTAATTCGTTATTTTTTTGATAACGAAGCGATATTGAACCATTCAGGAGCAACTAAAAAACGAAACGAATTTTTTCAATTCGTTTCGTAATTGTTTCGTATTTGTTTCGAAATCGATTCGTAATTGATTCGAAATCATTTCGTTATTATTTCCGCATGTCTGGTGCAAGTTTTATAGTCGTTGTTTGTTTTCTCAGTGAAAAAAAAAATTATCACACCACAGTCAACAACAGAGGGAGAGGGAAGCTTCCTGTCCCATTTGGAGGTTTTTTTAGCGTATTGCGCGATCGCGCCCGCCATTAACGAATCGATTCGTAATTGTTTCGAAATCGATTCGTAATTGATTCGTAATTTACGAAATTTCGTAAATATCAAAAAAAATTTAAGGAAAATTTCGGAATTAATTTAAAAATCGAAACGCAAAAACCCCCTAAAAACGAATCGAGTTTAGAAACAAATTTTTCCGTGGTTGCCCAGCCCTAGTAGATAAGTCTAGAATTAGAAAAAGTAGACAAGTCTAGAAGAATCCACCAACAGTTAGTATATGGCTGGTACAACTGAAAGCCAGAAAAGAGCAACCTCAGTCTTATTTTAAAAGGATTGGCTTTGTCAATGGCAGTCCAATCCTTAAAAAGCAGATAGAAGAACAAACTTAATTTGCCCATATAAATGGAAGGTATGTGTAGAATGCAAATGAATGGCAAGAATTTATTACAGTACTAAACTATTAGGCTTGGGCGGTTTCGTTTGTTAATTTCGTAATTCGTTATTAATTCGTATTTAAATTAGCTTACGATCCGATATTGAGCCATGCAGGAGTAATTAAAAATCGAAACAATTTTTTCAATTTATTTCGTAATTGTTTCGTAATTGTTTTGAAATTTATTTATTTATTTATTTACCTTACTTATATACCGCTGTTCTCAGCCCGAAGGCAACTCACAGCGGTTCACAACAAATACGAACAGCAAAAATTCAGTGCTACAGTATAGAAACAGTTAACCTAACACATTACACAATTAATAAACAGTTACTACAATACCCATTCACTGTTATCTCATCATCAAAAACATGTTCCAGATTCGTCATCCATTGTTCCATTCCAGTGTTCGTTAACCAATCATTGCACTAATTATTCGAACGCCTGCTCAAACAGCCAGGTCTTCACTTTTTTGCGGAATACCATTAGAGATGGTGCTAGTCTAATGTCCGTAGGAAGGGCGTTCCACAGCCGAGGAGCCACCTATCTCTCATCCCCGCCAGCCGAGCTTGAGAAGCAGGTGGGATCGAGAGCAGGGTCTCCCCGGAAGATCTCAAAGTCCTGGTGGGTTCATAGGCAGAGATGTGGTCGGATAGGTAGCTTGGGCCGGAACTGTTTAGAAATTGTTTCGTAATTATTTCCGTATGTCTGGTGCAAGTTTTAGGGTTGTTGTTTGTTTTATCAGTGATAAAAATAAATTATCACACCAACAGTCAACAACAGAGGGAGAGGGAAGCTTCAGAAGTTCCCCCTGTCCCATTTGGAGGGTTTTTTAGCATATTGCGCAATCGCGTCCGCCATTAACGAATCGATTCGTAATTGTTTCGTAATTGTTTTGTAATTTTACGAAATTTCGTATTTTTCGAACTTTTTTAAAGAAAAATTTCGTATATTTCAAACTTTTTTAAAGAAAAATTTCGTATATTTCAAACTTTTTTAAAGAAAAATTTCGGAATTCTTTTAAAAAACGAAACGCAAAAACCCCCTAAAAACGAAACGAGTATAGAACCAAATTTTTCCGTAGTTACCCAAGCCTATAAACTATGCATGCTGAAAGTCTAAAGCTTAATTTTAGAAATTCTAGTGATTATGCACTTTAGGGTCATAAAAGAAATATTTCCTTGACTTCCATTTCAGCAGAGCCTATATTTGAAAAAGTGAGTGCTTCACACTCAAAGTAGAAGTTAAATACATGTTTCCCTAAGGCTTCATCCACACTGAAGCTTATAACAAACTTTAAATGCCATGGCAGTGGGTGCCGCAGTGGGTTAAACCCCTGTGCCGGCAGGACTGAAGATCAACAGGTTACAGGTTCAAATCTGGAGAGAGCGTGGATGAGCTCCCTCTACCAGCTCCAGCTTCTCATGCGGGGACATGAGAGAAGCCTCCCACAAGGATGATAAAATATCAAAAACATCCGGACATCCCCTGGGTAACGTCCTTGCAGACAGCCAATTATCTCACACCAGAAGCGACTTGCAGTCACTCCTCACACAACAAAAAAAATGCCATGGCATAATGCTATGGAAACTTCAGGTATGTGTGTGTGTCAGAAGTGACTTGCTACAAGTCACTTCTGGTGTGAAAGAATTGGCCGTCTACAGAGACATTGCTCAGATGTGTTACCATTCTGTTGGGAGGCTTCTCTCATTTCCCTACAAGCTAGACCTGACAGACGGGAGTTCACCCAGTCTCGCGGATTCGAACTGGCAACCCAACCTGCAGATCAACAGTCCAACCAGCACACGGGTTTAACTCATTGCAAAGACCTTGAAAACTATAGTTTCTATGATTCAATATCATTGGGCCATGGCAAGTAAAGTAAACTGCATCAATGTATTGTCAAAGGCTTTCATGGCCGGAATCACTGGGTTGTTGTAGGTTTTTCCGGGCTATATGGCCATGTTCTAGAGGCATTTTCTCCTGACGTTTCGCCTGCATCTATGGTAAGCATCCTCAGAGGTAGTGAGGTAGTGAGGTAAACTGCATCAATTTGACAGTGCAGATGCACTTGTTTATGCCAAGTAAAGTAGTGTAAACTGCATCAATTCGACAGTATATACACACTGCCAAGATACTACACTTGGAGGACCCTCATCCTCGGCCTATGAGGGATCGCCTAAGTAAGTAAGATCAAAAAGAGGGAGACTTTAAGTCTTCTTATTTGTGGTCAGTGGGTCTTTGTTGATGCCAGCAAATCTACATAATAATGACCAGAAATTCTCTAATGAGGGCTGCTGAAGCAACAAAAACCACAGTACAAAGAAAGGTGTTTATTAATTGCCTACTACAACTGGTGGCGTAGTGGGTTAAAGCACTGAGCTGATGAGCTTGTTGATCGAAAGGTCGCAGTTTCGATTCGGGGAGCGGCGTGAGCTTCCGCTGTCAGCCCTAGCTTCTGCCAACCTAGCAGTTCGAAAACATGCAAATGTGAGTAGATCAATAGGTACTGCTCCGGCGGGAAGGTAACGGCGCTCCATGCAGTCATGCCGGCTGTGAAGATCCCTTACCTTGCCAGCCGGGGTGGCAGGGCCTGGGAGAGACAGGCTAGGTAGTTTCAGCTTAGAAGGCCTGGCAGAGGGCAGCAGGAGCCATCTTAGTTTAGGGAAAGCTCCAGTTCAGAGAGGGGGAGTGGCCTAGGCCTGAGCCAGCCCTGAAACAGCCAGGATTGGTTTGTTAAAGGGGGGCGGAGTTAGACTGTTGGAGGGAAAGTAAGAAGCTTATTTAGTTCAGTTCAGTTCTGGTTGATGTTAGAGCAGGATTACAGTTTTAGGAGTTCCTGTTAGGAATAGGCAGCTTGCCTGAAGTTTGCACAGCAAAGTAGGCTGTGGCAGACTGGTTACAGCTATTTTAGAGAAGAAATAGCTGGGTTTTGTATAGGAACTGTAACAAAGATAGAACCATTCTCTCATGCAACCGTTACGCTTTTAAGAACAAGAACACTTTAATTGTAACAGCCAAGCTTATGAAACTGCATTCACTTCATTCTGTAACTTTTATTCAATAAACCTTTCTTGTTATTTTTGAAACTTAAGCCTGAGTCAAGTGCCATTTGTGGATTTAGTCCCTTTTCTTTTTAATTCAACCACACCTGTTTTCCTTCAAAGAAGCCCTTTTAAAAGACAGTACTTGGTGGTGTTTTAAACAACCTTTTTAACATCTTAAATAGCTAGAGGGTTCCTGTTCATTTATCTTTATGGTGGCAGCGAAGGTTTAAATGAAGAGACATCCCCTCAAGTTTTATCTAGGGGCCAAAGTGGTGTGAATTCCTTATTAAAGGAGGGACAGCGGTGGGATTGTTTGACCCCCTGCCCAGTCGGCCATTAAGGAGTTATTATAATTGGTGGCAGCGGTGGGATTGTTTTACCCCCTTGCCCAGACGGCCATTAATTAAGTAGTTATTATACCGGCCACATGACCTTGGAGGTGTCTACGGACAACACTGGCTCTTCAGCTTAGAAATGGAGATGAGCACCACACCCCAGAGTCAGACATGACTGGAATTAATGTCAGGGGACTACCTTTACCTTTACCTTACAACTGGGTTTGGCCCAGATGGGTCTTCTAGACTCCATCTGGCTGCAACCACAGGTAAGACATGGTGTGTCTCTGAACAGTATCTGGGGCTGGGCCAGAGCATTTATACTTCAGACTGGCCACAAAAATTTTAGTGTTGAACCTAAAAAAATGGAAGGTTTCTTTGACTACTTTAAAAAAAAAGCAATCAGTTTTCAAACGCACTGGGATAAATCCAATTGCTAATTTCCATGGAATTACCGTTGCAATCTTTGAATAACCAAATGTATATTGATCAAACATTTTTTTCTAGTTACTGATAACAATTTTGCAATAAACAAATGGATTTTTCACTTTGATTATTGAATCTGTGTTGAAAATTAATTCTCTCTCTCTCTGTCCCCCCCCCCCCCCAACCCCCAGTTCAATGAAACACTTGATGGGCTTTACAGAGTCTACACTGGGCGAGAAGATATGAGCAAAACAGCAATAATCCACAGTTATAAAAACAAAAGGTACCATATTGTATTATTACATCATAATCCAACTTGAACATGCCTTCTCTGGAAACCCAAAATACTCCAAAATCTGAAATTTTCCAAACCTTTATTTTATTGTATTGTCGAAGGCTTTCATGGCCGGAATCACTGGGTTGTTGTAGTTTTTTTCGGGCTATATGGCCATGTTCTAGAGGCATTTTCTCCTGACGTTTCGCCTGCATCTATGGCAAGCATCCTCAGACCTCACTACCTCTGAGGATGCTTGCCATAGATGCAGGCGAAACGTCAGGAGAAAATGCCTCTAGGCCATGGCCATATAGCCCGAAAAAGTAGGGCTGGGCGGTTTCGTTTCATTAATTCGTAATTCGTTAAAAATTCGTTATTTTTTTATAACGAAGCGATAACGAACCATTCTGGAGCAACTTAAAAACGAAACGAATTTTTAAATTCATTTCGTAAATGCTTCGGATTTGTTATGTATTCGTTTCGTTATCGGTTTGAGGTCGTTTCGTTATTATTTCCGCATGTCTGGGGCAAGTTTTATAGTTGTTTTTTGTTTAATTAGTGAAAAAAAATATAATATCACAACAACAGTCAACAACAGAGGGAGAGGGAAGCTTCAGAAGTTCCCCCTGTCCCATTTGGAGGTTTTTTAGCGTATTGCGCAGTCGCGTCCGCCATTAACGAATTGATTCGTTAATTGTTTCGTATTTGTTTCGTTAATGTTTCATAATTTTTTTTACATTTACGAAATTTCGTAAATATCGAACTTTTTAAAAGAAAAATTTCGGAATTCTTTTAAATATCGAAACGCAAAAACCCCCAAAAAACGAATCGATTTTAGAAACAAATTTTTCCGTTGTTACCCAGGCCTACGAAAAAGCCTACAACAACCCACTGAGCTATAATACTTTTTGTTTCTAAAGTTCAATGTACACAATTGTTTATTTCAAGCAGAAAATTATTAAAAATGTTGCATGAAATTACTTTCATAATATGTATAAGATATTATGAAATATAAATGAATCTCATGTTCAGACTTGGGTCTCATCTTCATGATATTGGATATATGCAAATGCAAACATTGGTATCTCAAAATCCAAAGCACTTTTTGTCCCAAGCATTTCAGATAGGGCATGTTCAATATGAAACATTAATCAGATTATATTACTCTAGCGTTGAATGTTCTGATATTTTTTTACTCGGTTCAATAATCTGAAATATCATATTATGGATTCCATTTATTATTTTGAATCTGTTCCGTTAAGATGTTCATCCTTTCCCAGTCAGATAATGAATTATGACTACTGTGTGCAAGAAATTATTACTTTAGACTAGTGTGTCATGCACCACCATTTTTCTTATGTCTATATAGGAAATTCAATTGCGGAAATTCAGTTTTTCTATGAAATCATAGAAAAATGTTCATCTAAATATTTTCTTTAATTTTGAGATTCTTCAACTTGTTCTGATTTGGATTACACTTTTCTTTTCTCTTCTCTTTTTAAAAGCATGCTTCCATACTGGGGAGGCCATTGTGACATGATTAATGGCACAGGTAAGTACATTAAAATTAGTGCTTTCTAATACTACATCCATGAACATGAAAATACATGTGTGTATATACGTACATACAATGTTTATTCACATTAGAAATGTAATTCTTCACTCATTTTTTTCTCAAGGAAAAATGCTAAATACAATCATAGAATCATAGAATCAAAGAGTTGGAAGAGACCTCATGGGCCATCCAGTCCAACCCCCTGCCAAGAAGCAGGAATATTGCATTCAAATCACCCCTGACAGATGGCCATCCAGCCTCTTTTAGTTATTTTCTTCTCACTGCTCTCAGTGTTCCAAGTACAGGCCAAGGCTTCCTATTCTTGGACCTAGCTGAAAAGGCTCCCGGGTATCTGCATAGCTTTTGCCTGAGAAGTAGTGACAAACCTCAGTTTGTGCAACATCATTTAGAGCAAAATAATATGTGGTAATTAGGGCTGGGCGGTTTCGTTCATTAATTTCGTAATTCGTTATTAATTCGTTATTTTTTTGATAACGAAGCGATATTGAACCATTCAGGAGCAACTAAAAATCGAAACGAATATTTAAAATTAATTTCGTAATTGTTTCATAATTGTTTCGAAATTGTTTCGTTATTATTTCGTTATTATTTCCGTATGTCTGGTGCAAGTTTTATGGTTGTTGTTTGTTTTATCAGTGATAAAAAATAAATTATCACACCAACAGTCAACAACAGAGGGAGAGGGAAGCTTCAGAAGTTCCCCCTGTCCCATTTGGAGGTTTTTTTTAGCGTATTGCGCAATCGCGTCCGCCATTAACGAATCGATTCGTTATTGTTTCGAAATTGTTTCGTAATTTCCGAAATTTCGTAAATATCGAACTTTTTTAAAGAAAAATTTCGGAATTCTTTTAAAATGAAACGCAAAAACCCCCTAAAAACGAATCGAGTTTAGAAACAAATTTTTCCATGGTTGCCCAGCCCTAGTGGTAATCATCAATTATTACCAAGAGATAGGTGTTGTACCCCAATCTTGTGGAGGAGGCGGTAACAACGACGACAACAACAAAAATAAGCTAATGTGTAAAATGTTAGGAATACCATGTTTGTACTATCTGGCATCCCTTTCATGATCTGGCAAACAGTAATTAATATTTTTTTTAAAAAAAACAAACAAAAAACCCCGCAAATGTGACTAGTTGAGAAAATTACTACATATGTTTCCATCTTAATTTCAAGATGCCAAAACAGTTATGTGATGCAATGAAGCGAATAAGACATGTTCTCTATTTTGTTTGCTCTGGAATTTATTTATTTATTTATTTATTTCATTTACTTATACCCCGCCCTTCTCACCCCGAGGGGGACTCAGGGCGGCTTACAGTGGGGGCACAATTAGATGCCCAAAGCAATTCACAAGCAATACAAATACAAACAATTCAACAATTAATTAAAAACATCAATACATAATAAAAACAATAAAACAGTCTCATGCTCAGGGTTCAGAGTCCATATATCCATTCCATTCCATTTGTCCTTGTCTATCATCAGATCCTTCAGTTAGCTGTCAGAATGACCAAAGGCTTGATCCCAGATCCAGGTCTTCAGTTTTTTCCTAAACGCCAAAAGGGAAGATGACGATCTAATCTCCCCGGGGAGTGAGTTCCACAGGTGGGGGGCCACCACTGAGAAGGCCCTGCTCCTCGTCCCCGCCAGCCTCACTTGTGACAGTGGCGGGGTCGAGAGCAGGGCCTCCCCAGAAGATCTTAAGCTTCGAGGTGGGATGTAGAGGGAGATCCGTTCGGACAAATACACTGGGCCGGAACCGTATAGGGTTTTGTAGGTCAAAACCAGCACTTTGAATTGTGCTCGGAATTGGATCGGCAGAATGTCTGTCTGTGAGTCCAATTGCGAAAATAGAGGAAATGTGCTAGATGGACATAAGTCAATCATCTTAAGGAGCTGGGCATATTTAGCCTGAAGAAGAGAAGCCTGAGAGGAGATATGATAGCCATGTATAAATATGTGAGAGGAAGCCACAGGGAGGAGGGAGCAAGCTTGTTTTCTGCTTCCCTGGAGACTAGGACGCAGAACAACGGCTTCAAACTACAAGAGAGGAGATTCCATCTGAACATGAGGAAGAACTTCCTGACTGTGAGAACCGTTCAGCAGTGGAACTCTCTGCGCCCGGAGTGTGGTGGAGGCTCCTTCTTTGGAAGCTTTAAACAGAGGCTGGATGGCCATCTGTCAGGGGTGATTTGAATGCAATATTCCTGCTTCTTGGCAGGGTTGGACTGGATGGCCCATGAGGTCTCTTCCAACTCTTTGATTCTATGATTCTATGATCTGCTGCCTCTTGCCCTTATGAATGTATTTGTTATAATTAAACACAAACTTGATTGTAAATTGGGAAATATCTAATGTATGCATAATCATCATTTTTGTTCACATATTTCTTATAGATGGATCATCATTTCCCCCTTTTGTCAGTAGGAATGATGTGCTGCAATTTTTTTCTTCTGATATTTGCAGGTAAACATGCATGGGGTATATGATTTTATTTATTTTTGATGAAGCAATTGAAATGCTTAGAAAAAAATCTGGCTTGCAGTCATTTTCATGGAACATTGAAAGTATATTTATTTATCGTGTCAGGCAACCGAACAGTTGTATTACATTTTTGACAGAACAAACAAACAAACATACAAAAGACACAGAGTTTGCAAGCTTGGTAGTTGGTTAAATGTCCTTTGACCAGTATCTGGCCACTTGGAGTGCTTCTGGTGTTGCCGCAAGAAGGTCCTCCATTGTGCATGTGGCAGGGCTCAGGTTGCATTGCAGCAGGTGGTCAGTGGTTTGCTCTTCTCCACACTCGCATGTCGTGGATTCCACTTTGTAGCCCCATTTCTAAAGATTGGCTCTGCCTCTCGTGGTGCCAGAGTACAGTCTATTCAGCGCCTTCCAAGTCACCCAGTTTTCTGTGTGCCCAGGGGGGAATCTCTCATTGGGTATCAGCCATTGATTGAGGCTCTGCCACTTTTGGACTCTCGCTTGCTGAGGTGTTCCAGCGAGTGACTCTGTAGATCTTAGAAAACTATTTCTTGATTTAAGTCGTTGACGTGCTGGCTGATACCCAAACAGGGGATGAGCTGGAGATGTCTCTGCCTTGGTCCTTTCACTATTGGCTGCTACTTCCCGGCGGATGTCAGGTGGTGCAATACCGGCTAAGCAGTGTAATTTCTCCAGTGGTGTGGGGCGCAGACACCCTGTGATAATGCGGCATGTCTCATTAAGAGCCACATCCACTGTTTTAGTGTGGTGAGATGTGTTCCACACTGGGCATGCATACTCAGCAGCAGAGTAGCATAGCGCAAGGGCAGATGTCTTCACTGTGTCTGGTTGTGATCCCCAGGTTGTGCCAGTCAGCTTTCGTATGATATTGTTTCTAGCACCCACTTTTTGCTTGATGTTCAGGCAGTGCTTCCTGTAGGTCAGAGCACAGTCCAGAGTGACTCCCAGGTATTTGGGTGTGCTGCAATTGAAAGTAGATAACTCCTCATAACTGATGTGGCAGGAGTTCTTGACCATGAGGGTGCCAACCTATATAACACACACAAAACTCAAACAGTAATCAGATATCCCTTCCACATTATATAATTAAAGCATAGAACATGGTTCCAGTTTAATCACCTTACCTACATCCTGTACATCCACTAGAATTCTTTGAGTTTGAGTTCTGAATACCCATCCCTCAGCTGCAAATCCCAGGATTCCATAGTTGTTAAAATAGACTCATAGTGCGGTCTGACTCCCATATCCACAAGGGACACATTCCCGAATTTACCCTGGAAACAGGAAACACTGGATAATGGCAAACCCTATTGAAATGACTTCTGCTGGAAGTTGCCATAAAGTCACCTTGGAGGACTTAGAAAATTCCTAGAAAATATTCTAGTTGGTTCCGCTAGATTGCAGGGTAACCTCCAAAGAAGTATAGGATAGAATCATCTGGAGGACCTACACATTACTAGAGATGACATATTCTTTGAGACTTAGGGTACATCTACATCATAGAATTAATATGGTTTCACATCCCTTTAACTGCCAAGACTCAATGCTATGGATTCCTGAGATATGTGGTTTGGTAGGACACTAGCAGTCTTTGGCAGAGAAAGCTCATTATAAAACTTCAAATTCCATAATTTCATAGCACCGAGTCATGGCAGTTAAAGTGGTGTCAAGCTTTGGCTGCTTTGAGTCCCCCTAGGGGTGAGAAAAGTGGTATATAAATACTGTAAATAAATAAATAAATAAATAAATAAAGCTGTATTAATCCTAAAGTGTAGATGCATCCATACTCTACTGTATCTTGTGAGTGGAGTGAGAATTACCAGCATCTTAAAATTTAATAGCAGCCCTAGGAAATGTATCCAGTCATAGTAATGATGCTGTTCTGTAACTGACATCATTCCCAAAGTTCTGGACATTATAGGCCAAGAGACACAGTTGCCTTTAGTCCAATACTCTCTACTAGGGCTGGGCGGTTTCGTTCGTTAATTTCGTAATTCGTTATTAATTCGTTATTTTTTTTTATAACGAAGCGATATTGAACCATTCAGGAGCAACTAAAAAACGAAACGAATTTTTCAATTTGTTTCGTAATTGTTTCGTGATTGTTTCGAAATCGTTTTGAAATCGTTTCTTTATTATTTCCGCATGTCTGGTGCAAGTTTTAGAGTTGTTGTTTGTTTTATCAGTGAAAAAAATATAATTATCACACCAACAGTCAACAACAGAGGGAGAGGGAAGCTTCAGAAGTTCCCCCTGTCCCATTGGAGGTTTTTTTAGCGTATTGCGCGGTCGCGTCCACCATTAACGAATCGATTCGTAATTGTTTCGTATTGTTTCGTAATTGTTTCGTAATTTCCGAAATTTCGTAAATATCGAACTTTTTTAAAGAAAAATTTCGGAATTCTTTTAAAAATCGAAACGCAAAAAAACCCTAAAAACGAATCGAGTTTCGAAACAAATTTTTCCGTGGTTGGACAGCCCTACTCTCTACCACATTTCAAAGGCAATTTTTTACTTTCCCTCATTTAAAAAGAATTGAGAAATAGGTTTTATAGTGAAGACAGGGGAAATGTTGTTTACCTTAAACAGTCAGAAATAACCAACTGATACTTAGGCTATATTCAAAACTTTGAACATGTTGGTTGGATGGAATTTTGCCAGCACAGGTACTTTTTCTATGGTGACTTAGGACCTCATCGGATGGGCAGGAGTAAAGAAGTGGAAAGTGGAGGAAAACAGCCTCTTTCTTTCCCTACCATCTTTCTCTGTCTTCTGAGATGCCCCCCCCCCCATCCCTTGTGGCTTTCCATCTTTTCCATGATCTTCGCTGGGAACTGGACAGGGGGAGTGTGTCCCTGTTGGTTCTGCTGGACCTCTCTTCGGCCTTCAATACCGTCGACCACGGTATCCTTCTGGGACGCCTTGCGGGAATGGGCCTCGGAGGTACTGCTTTGCAGTGGCTCCAGTCCTTCCTCGAGGGTCGCTCCCAGAAGATGTTATTAGGGGACTCCTGCTCGACCCCGCGGCCATTGTATTGTGGGATCCCGCAGGGCTCAATACTGTCCCCTATGTTGTTCAACATATACATGAAGCCGCTGGGGGAGATCATCCAGAGTTTCGGGGTGCAGTGTCATCTCTATGCAGATGATGTCCAACTCTGTCACTCTTTCCCAAACGCTACTAAGGAGGCTGTCCAGGTCCTGAACTGGTGCTTGGCCGCTGTGATGGTCTGGATGAGAGCGAACAAATTGAAATTGAATCCAGACAAGACATAGGTACTCCTGGTCAGTCGCAAGGCCGAACAGGGCATAGGGTTACAGCCTGTGTTAGATGGGGTTACACTCCCCCTAAAGAGGCAGGTTCGCAGCTTGGGAGTGATCCTGGACTCATCGCTGAGCCTGGAACCCCAGGTTTCGCGGTGGTCAGGGGAGCTTTTGCACAATTAAAACTTGTGCGCCAGCTGCGCTCATACCTTGGGAAGTCTGACTTGGCCAAGGTGGTACATGCTCTGGTTTCATCCCGTATAGACTACTGCAACACTCTTTATGTGGAGTTGCCTCTGAAGATTGCCCGGAAGCTACAACTAGTACAACGAGCGGCAGCCAGATTACTAACGGGAGCGGGGTACAGGGAGCATACTACTCCTCTGTTGCGCCAGCTCCACTGGCTGCCAATCAGCTTCCGAGCACAATTCAAAGTGCTGGTGTTGACCTATAAATCCCTAAACGGCTCTGGCCCTATTTACCTGTCCGAACGGATTCTCCCCTATGAACCATCAAGGTTATTAAGATCTTCTGGAGGGGCCCTGCTCTCAGTCCCTTCGCAATCGCGTTTGGTGGGGACAAGGGACAGGGCCTTTTCTGTGGTGGCCCCTCGGCTTTGGAACTCCCTCCCGATGGAGATTAGATCTGCCTTCTCCCTCCTAATGTTTAGAAAGCTGGTAAAAACATGGCTTTGGGATACTACATTTGCAGAGTGATGACTGAGTTAATGACTGTTGACCTTGCTGGCGGATGGCGATGAATTTGTGATTCTTTTGGACAAACTGATTTTTTGCTGTAACCTGTATGAATTGTATAATTGTATTTTAATGTTTTTATATTGATGATTTATAATGTTTTCTTATTGTATTGAATCTTGTGTTGTTAGCCGGCCTGAGTCCCTCCTCGGAGGTTGAGAAGACCGGGGTATAAAAACTCTAAATAAATAATACTAAAGGCACTCTGGGCTCCGTTTCTCCATGCTGCCAAAATTGAGCCCAATAGAGTCCCACATCATGTGATGGACTCCATTCCGGCAACGGGGAGAAACAAGGAGGAGAGACAGAGAAGACTGTGTTTGATAAGGTCCTTAGCAACCTTCTAACTATTTTGAAGGATGCAAGCTCATAACTCGGGGTTCCTGTTGTGTTCACATTTTGGATTGTCAAGGTGGAAAATGTATTACTTTCTCTCAGTAGAGCTGGGTCCTTGATTCTTATTTTCCTAGAGTTACAAGGAAACATCCCATTCAGTTGATGACCCATACAGGGAAGGCAGTTGAGACATTTACTAAAAACACTAAGGCTATATCTACACTGCCAAATAATGCAGTTTGAACTGTCATATATGATTAGTACAGATTCAGTCTTTGGCAGTATAGATCCAGCCTCTGATGTTATTTTTTTTTATCTGAGAACAAAAAGAAAAGCATTTAGAGTGGAAAGGATTTATTTAAGGCGGATCTGGCCAAGGTGGTTCACGCCTTAGTCACCTCTAGACTGGATTACTACAATGCACTCTACGTGGGGCTACCCTTGAAAACGGCCCAGAAATTTCAGATGATCCAACGGGCGGCAGCCAGGTTGTTAACTGGGGCTCCTTACAGAGAGAGGTCATCCCTCCTGTTCAAGGAGCTCCACTGGCTGCCATTCATCTACCGGACCCAATTCAAGGTGCAGGTTCTTACCTACAAAGCCCTGAACGGTTTGGGACCCGCCTACCTGCGTGATCGCATCTCTGTATACGAACCCACACGATCCCTTCGATCATCCGGAGAGGCCCTGCTCTCGATCCCACCAGCATCGCAGGTGCGATTGGTGGGGACGAGAGAGAGGGCCTTTTCGGTGGTGGCCCCTCGACTCTGGAACTCACTCCCTAAAGACATTAGACAGGCTCCAACTTTGGCAGTCTTCAGGAGGAACTTGAAGACGTGGCTGTTCCAGTGTGCCTTCCCGGAATAATGACCCCATAGCACTTTGTCCTCCAAAGCACTTTACATTTCTTTAAGTCTGCTCGTATGCCCTTCCACAAACACCAGTATCACCTTCCGTTCATGTCCCAGCATTATTTCCAATTTTAACTTAACATTTGGCCTTCCCACTGTTTTTAATTATGTGTTGTTTTATTGATAATGTTGTTTATCTTATTGTCTATGTGTTTTTAATTGCTTGTATTGTTGTTATTATTGCTTGTATTGTTGTGTTTGGGCTCGGCCTCATGTAAGCCGCACCGAGTCCCTTGGGGAGATGGTAGCGGAGTACAAATAAAGTGTTGTTGTTGTTATTATTATTATTATTATTATTATTATTATTATTTAATTGAAATAGGTAGCTCCGTTCAGAAAAGGATTTCCCATAGTGATTACTTTTTGCTTTGTTTGTTCTTTCAGTGCCATGAAAAAAAGTTGTCTCTTGGCCTTTTAGATGTAAGGTCTCTCCAAACTGATTTATATTGATTGAACATCATGCTGCCTGTTTCATTTTTTTTCATGATAAAATTATTTATCTGGATTTGCATTGAGTTTAAATATTGATTTGCAAACTGTCATGGAAATCTGGATTCTATTTTAGGTTCAGTTAGTGATAATATCATAGCAGCCTATGTTTGTGTTCTATTAAAATTAAGATGCTTTCTACCTGTCCTATTAACACACAGGTCCATCTATGGCAACTTTGACAGTGATCAGCTTGTGAAGGACATTCCACTCTATCGATTTATAGTACCTCCAGATGCTTTTGCATCTCCACTTGTAAATCCTGATAACATCTGTTTCTGCACAGAAAAAATTATATCTGAGAACTGTACTAGGGCTGGAGCACTGGACATCAGCGCCTGTAAAGAAGGTACCATCATGGAAGGCTTACAGACACTTTATATAAATGAAAATTGTAACACTTTAATGGCTTTTGATCAGAGCCTTGAAAATTTGGTTTTGGTGACTTACAACTCCCAGTATCCTTCAGCTAGCCTAGCTGAATAGTTGTAGTCAGAAAGCCTAACTTTACAAAGTCATTTTGATGCTTTGACATTTCACATTTGTAACATTTCACATTTGTTGTATTAAAAAGAAGACTCAATCATTTTACAATTTTACTGGGGGGAAAAGTTGGAACCACTGCCATTTTCAAACACTGTGGTCTATACAGCAGCAGGAGAAGAAGGGGGAAGGAGGAAATTTTGTGCAAAAAATGCATTACATTTTCTGCACCGAAAAGGTTTTCTGCATGCAAAATAATATGTTCCTTCATTATCCAATCAAAAATGTGCATATCCCCATAGATTAAACTAGGATTTATCTAGGTTTCTCCTTGGCAGGGTTTCCTAACTTGTTTTTCAACCATTTTCCAAATAGTTTTGAATATTCTTTCCACCCTGGGATGACGTTTCACTATTTCAGTCTTTTCACAGGTGCCTTTTTACGTGTGATAATGTATGTGTGGGTGGGGGAAACAGTTTCCCTTTAAAATTGGCTGGGGCTTTCTTGTGAGCTTTTACCTTGAAGGCTTTATATCACAGGCTTGAGACACTCTTGTAATAAACAAAGTAGCAAAGTTTATTTATAGCTTCTGGCTCCAACGCTTATGGTTACATTTGTGTGTTCTGTTACAGTCTTGAGTCTTACATTCAATATCATCCACTTGGTTAACTTTTCCTATCAAACTTCAACTGTTTCACATCAACAAATATGTTACTTTTTCATACACTCTTGACAGAACTATATTCTGCCTTAAACAACACTGGCAATTTTTTCTTTTCCTTAAAACTTGAGCTCCATTTTCCTAACTGCTTTTCTCTCACAGAAGTTCCTAACTGTACCTCACAAACAGGAATCCCTAACTCATTTTCTGACTCTCTAACTGCCTATTTTTAAACTTAACTCCGCCCCTTTGGAATGTTCAGCTCTCTTCCCCCAACTGCCATTCTGGCTCAGTGGCCTTTTCAAATCCTGGCCTACACTCATCTGCATACGACCAATCGGCTGCACGTATGCAAATTAATCTTGCCTCTACTGTTGCTACCCTATTTGAGCCAATTCTGCCACATTGCAACATAGAGCTATACATCAAAAATTTAACATAGATCAACAAATTCACTACACACCCCAACTCAGCATTCTCAGATTCTGCCCTTGATATATCATTCAGTTTTCTATACGTTGTTAGACTGTAAACCTCAGATATCCTGGTCAAAGATGTGGAATGCCGGAAATTTCAATCAGTCAACATCTCATGGATCACATATTCCCCACACTTAATATTATTACTACCACTGCTATTACTTTATAAACCCATCTCTTTAATGCCATACACAACAACTCATACCTATCCATCTATGTGCTTAGGTGTCCATCTCCAAATACCTTCAGGAAAAAGTTTTAATAATACGAGGACCCTTATTTAATCTGTCATCTATCTATCTATCTATCTTAAAATATCTAACTCTTTAGTTAGTGTTCTTCTTTCTCTTCTTTCATTTTTAAAATGATGGTGTTAACCTTTCATGAAATATTTAATAAAGCGTTGTGGATAATTATAATTAATGAAGAAAATGTGGACAGGACTTATGCCAAATATCACTTCACTTGTTGCCTGTCAGGTATGGATCCTTTTCTAGGGAAGGATGTGGAAACCCTTTTTGGGTCTTGCCTTACCTGGTGCCTTCCAAATGAAACTACAACTTCTACTATTGCACATATAAATCTCCCACACTAACTGTGAGATTAGGAGGTAGAGAGTCCAACAAATCTGGAGTAGCATCAGATTCATCAAGCCTCTGCTAAGTTATGAGTACTTGTCCCACATTGGCACTGTATATTCAGTATATGTATTCAGAGCATGAAAAGATGGTATGTGATATGCACACAATAAATCTGAATCAATCTTGTTGATCAGAGGCAGGATGCATGTGTGTGTGTCCTATGTCCTGTTTCTCTTATTATGATTACCAAGTTAGGTGTGAAGCACTGTTGCTCAGTGCAACAACTTGCACAATTTTAAGTAGTGGTTTCATTAGGATTGTTTGATCTAGTCTGAGGTATATTTATGAGACCTAAATTCTCCCTCAGGCCATGCTGTTATTGTGAAAATAATTCCAATCATTTCTTTCTTAACACCTACATGACCACAGGTACAATATGTTCATGTTATTGATCTCACTTATCTACCCATTGACATTTTGGCAGCAAGTTCTAATCTGCTTTTCCAAGCACTTGAAAAATTGCTGTACAGATACTACCTGAGAAAAGGAGTATGTTTCCCAAATGATTTTCTAGTCAACGACATTTTCTTTCCCTCCCTCCAGCCCCTGGAACTCAGCCCAACATCCCATGGAAGGAGCCCCCAGTGGCGCTGTGGGTTAAACCCCTGTGCTGGCAGGACTGAAGACCGACAGGTCGCAGGTTCGAATCTGGGGAGAGGTGGATGAGCTCCCTCTATCAGCTCCAGCTCCTCATGCGGGGACATGAGAGAAGCCTCCCACAAGGATGATAAAACATCAAATCATCCGGGCGTCCCCTGCGCAACGTCCTTGCAGATGGCCAATTCTCTCACACCAGAAGCGACTTGCAGTTTCTCAGGTTGCTCCTGACACGGCAAAAAAAAATCCCATGGAAGATCCCATATCCTTCAAATGTTTTTGAATTGGTGAGAATGGTTTTGGGGTGACTTTATGCCCAAGACCTAATCAAAATCTAACAAAACTATAGTGAGTTTCCATGCCTCATTCTTCAAACTCCCCCTCCACTCCCCCCCCCCAAAGTCTCCCGAACAAACACAAACATATAGAATAAACTGAAAATCAGCTAAAATAATAGCTGAAAGTGACATTTGCCAGTGTGAGTATAGGAAGGAAGAATAGCCCCCTAACACTTATATTGTTGTCGAAGGCTTTCATGGCTGGAATCACTGGGTTGTTTAGGTTTTTTTGGGCTATGTGGCCATGCAGGCAAAACGTTAGGAAAAAATGCCTCTAGAACATGGCCATATAGCCCGAAAAAACCTACAACAACCCACTTATATTGTTTCCAGCTTCAATCAGAGTCCTATACTAAGCTACAAATGATTCATATTATCCAACTTCTCACATTTACTATCAGTTCTAAATCTATATCAGTATTATTGTTTTCTTTCTGTGTGTTTTTTTATATAAAAAAAATCTTCATCCTATCTCCACTGGCTCCCCCTTGTTTTGCATTTATTATGCTATTCGTGCTAATGTAAAATCTGCCCGTACCTAGTAATGAGTTACCCATAATGCTCTGCTGCTTTCCCACAATGCTGTAACATTTTCTGAACTTTTAAAATGTTTGATTTCCTAATAAATTTGGTGTGTCGATAAGAGAGAAGAAGGAGTGCTCTTGCTCTGTTCCAAAATGGATAATGCTGAATTATCCATTTTGATCTACTTATTGAACAAGATAATAGGCTCTGTAGTATAGAGCATCAACCAATTCAACAAGTAATGTTAGCAATTTTCTTTTCACTACAAGGAAGTATTTGTAAAACATATTGTCTCTTTGCATCTGAAACATATTGTCTCTTTGCATCTAAAAGTATGTCTGCCACATACTTAAGATGGTAATTTTAAGGAAACAATTTTAAGTAAACAACATTTTCTGCTGAAAAAAAATATTTCCAAACAGAAAACACAGTGTTCTGCACAAAACAGCCATTTCTGAATTTTGTGCAGATTGTTTCCAAACTGAATATACTCATATGTCCAGGATGGTCCTCATTAGTGTTTCTTGACATCAAAACATGTTTCAGAATAATTTTTTTAAATCAAATATCATTTTCTTCAATTATGATTTGTATGTTTTTATAATTTTTATTTAGGAAAACCTGTGTATATTACACTGCCCCACTTCTTGTATGCAAGTGAAGAAGTTTTTCTTGGTGTTGAAGGACTACACCCAAATCCTAAAGAACATATGACCTATTTGGATGTAGAGCCAGTAAGTAATGAATCATTGTACAGAGGTTCAAGAAGCCTGGAAAGTGTAGTGTTTTGAGTATTATATTACAACTATGGATACTAGGATTTCAGTCCCCTTTCAATCATGAAAACCCACTAGGTGACTTTGGGTGTATCAAACACTGTCAGCCTTCAGAGAAACACCATGTAAACTCACTCTGAATAAAACTAGCCAACAAAATTGAGATTAATTGGAATTGGAGTTCAGACTAAAATCTTGCTTTACAAGCACCTTTCATCTGATTTATATCTGTTTTCTAACTGTTCCAAGATGGAGCAGTTGCAGCAATTCCTAGACGACACAGCCGGACTAGATACCTTCCAGTCCGGCTTCCGTGCGGGGCACGGGACAGAGACTGTGCTGGTCACCATCACGGATCACCTTCGATGCCAGCTTGACCAGGGCGGGTCAGCGCTGCTTGTGTTATTGGATCTCACAGCAGCATTTGACACAGTCGACCACAATCTTTTGACCCACTGCCTTGCTGCTGTTGGAGTCAGGGGAACAGCTTTAAACTGGCTGTCCTCCTTTCTTCACAACCGTGGAAAGCGAGTGGAGAGGGGAGGCCTCTGAGAGGTCCCCTCTATCTTGTGGGGTTCCTCAGGGGGCCATTCTCTCCCCTCTGTTGTTTAACATCTATATGCAGCCACTTGCTCAGCTGGTTCGAGGTTTTGGGCTTGAGTGTTATCAGTACGCCGATGACACTCAGCTGGTGCTGAAGATGGAAGGCCGACCGGACTCTGTACCCGATTGTTTCCATCAGTGCCTCGAGGCCGTTACTGGATGGCTGCATGCCAGCAGGTTGAGGGTGAATCCAGCAGACGGAGATCCTATGGCTGGGTTGACCGGGCAGTGGGGACATCCAGCTGCCTACCCTGGATGGTGAGGCGCTATGCCCGTCATCATTGGTAAAGAGTCTGGGAGTCCTTTTGGACCCTCTGCTGACGATGGAGGCCCAGGTCTCCGCCGTTAGCAAAACTGCCTTTTTTCATCTGTGGCAGGCTAGATGGCTGGCTCCCTACCTGTCCAGGGACGACCTAGCTACAGTGATCCAGGCCACAGTCATCTCAAGACTGGACTACTATAACGCCCTCTACATTGGCCTTCCTCTGTCGGTGATCCGGAAGCTCAAGTTGGTACAAAATGCAGCTGCTCGGCTTCTTGCGGGAATTCCGATGAGATGCCACATAACACCAATCTTACTACAGCTGCATTGGTTACCAATTGAGCACTGAATCACTTTCAAAGTGATAGTACTCACCTTTAAGGCCTTACATGGTCTGGGGCCGATGTATCTGAGGGACCACCTCACCCCCTACCAAACCCAGAGATCCCTCCATTCTGAGGACCAAGATCTATTGGAAATTCCCAGTGTCAAGACCTTGCGTCTAACAGCAACCAGACGCAGAGCCTTCACAGCAGTGGTACCATCACTCTGGAATACTCTGCCACCTGAAGTCTGTGCCTTGCGGAACTTACCAGCTTTCCGCAGGGCATGGAAGACATACCTGTTTCGACAGGCTTTTAATGTTTGATATTGCTGTTTTTAAATTGTTTTAAATTGCTTTTAAATTTTGTTAGATTTTAGCCATTCTTGTAAGCTGCTCTGAGCCCCAGGGGAGTGGCAGCATATAAGTGCAAATAATAAATAAATAACAACACTTGGTTAACCCAAACATCAAAACTATACCTTGCAGATGTCATTCTTCAACCAAAGAAACTGTTTACTGTGTGTAGAGAGAATTTTCAGCTTTTCTGCTATGTTATATAGGTTCTTGAGGACATTTCTTTAATTTGCTTCTCAATCTGCATGGCAACTTTGAGTTACCAAATCTTTCCTTGAAAATAGACCACAAGTAGCCTTTTTCTCCCCACAGTCAGGATGGACACCCTTTTCTTTGAATGGGTACAATTCAAAGTGAAATTCTGAAACTGGTAACATACCATGTGAGAGACTGAAAAATTATTTCCCACTTTTAGTAGATAAATCTATGGATTCTTTTGAAACTGAGCTAAAATTGCTCATCATTCAAATCCACATATGCCCCACGGGCAGGGAAAAAAGACACCATGCCAAATGATCTCTGGATATTCTCCACCATTGTTGGTAGTGTCAACCAAACTACTTTGGAGAATGCAAAATGGTGAGCATTCTGCCGAAAGAGTCACATCAGACAACACGAAAAGAAAATGTTTAGACAAGAAGAAAGATGTGCACCTGCTAATTTTGCACCCCATTCTGAGAAAACGCTGGAAATGTTTTCCTCCTCTTGCAGAAATTTGGTGGAATCATTCCCCCAATTTTCCTTCCCACAAAGGTGGTTGAAGTGTTGAGATTCTATTGATGCACTGCTCCAATTTCCTATTTGGTACATATTACAAAAGCATACCACAAATATTAGACAGAAAAACATGTAAAATTTTATTAATAAAAGTGATAGGCAGATAGTCCTGAGGATCATTGCTCTGTGATTCTGCAGCTCCTCAGTTAGACGAGAATGCAATAGTCTTATTTATGTGGTATTCATACTATGATCTGAAATGCTCCAGTGATGGTAGCTACATAAAAGTTGTATAAACTATGCAATGGTGTCTATTCTGCATCTACACTAGTTTGGGGAGGAAATGGTTTTGAAGCTAAGACCTCAGTAAATTGCACCATGAGTCATTTAATTACACCCACTGCTCCAAATAAATTTCTCTAACTGTATTTTTTTTCTGTTTTTCAGACAACAGGGTTTACACTACAGTTTGCCAAAAGGTTGCAAGTGAATTTATTGGTGAAACCTTCTGCCAAAATTACGTAAGTCTGGAGTTGCTGGTTATTAATACTGATTTTAAAAAACCCATATGTTTCCATCATCAACACCTAAATCCATGTATTAGTTCCACCTAGATTAAATCTCTCTAACTAGGTAAGTCAACATTTATACATATTATAGGGATTCAGTGGGACAATCCTAGTAGACCTGATCACCTTCACCATATTATCCGACACTTGGGTGCTATTTTTTCCTCAAATCATTGCATTTTTGATGGAAATTAGAAACGGATAATTCAAATGTGTATGAATCAGAAATTTCTTTTATTAGTTTTCCTGTACAAGCAGAAAGGATTTCAAATGTTTTCTCCCTACTGTGTGAGATTACAAGTGTTTTAATGCAATTCTGCATTTGTTTGTTTCTGTTACATTATAGGTGATTTTAAAAAAACTGTTTTGCATATAAGTTAGTGTGTTTTGCAAATGACATTGCTTTCAGAATAATGCTTTCTGCCGGAGGAAATCAAAACTCTCACAGCACTTGACAAAGAGACATTCTGAGGTCTTAAGACACATTTCTTTACATCCTGCCATTCTTTATATCCTAGTACCAGTGTTTTTCTCCCCATGATCAGAGTAAGCCACCCTAAGTATTAGGCAGGAAGGTTATATAAATTGACCACACTAATGCAAAACCATTGTACAATTACACAGAAATCTGTATCAGTATGCTCTGACAAGTCTAGGTGACTGGCTGGGTGGGACATGTTAGTGCTTTCCAAAGCTCAATACGACTTCATGTAGATTAGAATTATTTTTATATATATTTATTTACGACATTTATAAGCTGCCCTTCTCACCCCGAAGGGGACTCAGAGCAGCTTACAATAAATATATACATACAGTATATTATAATATTAGCATAGTACAATATCAGTATTATATATTACTATATTGCACTATACCATTAGATTGTAATATTATTAGTAATATTACATGTAATACAAAACATATAAATGTAATATCATATTATTATTAGCAGTATTATATTGTATTGCATTATAATATTATAAATATTATATGTATATACAATATATATTATATTATATTATTAGTATAGCACAGGAGAAAAGATAGAATTGTCCCTGGCCCCCTCTCTCTTCACTCTGGCCCAGAGCTGCAGTTGATGCTGGAAGGAAGGGGTCCCCAACTGATGACATATGCAAGAGACAAGATGGAACTGTCCCTTGGCCCCCCTCTCTTCACTCTGGCCCAGAGCGGCAGTTGGTGCTGGAGGAGGGGTTCCCAACTGATGACATATGCAGGAGATAAGATGGAACTGGCCCCTGGCCCCCTCTCTCTTCATTCTGGCCCAGAGCGGCAGATGGTGCTGGGGTGAGGGGTCCCCAACTGCTTACTTATGCAGGAGACAAGATGGAACTATTCCCTGGCCCCCTCTGTATTAGAATTAGCCCTCTATATCAACAGATTCTTCTTCCAAGCACCTATGCTGAAAAATCTTTTTAAAGAAATTCCAAAAGCAAGCCTTGATTTACCATTTTATGCAATGTCAGTGTTCTACTACTCCAATGTGTATACTAGGACTTGAGCATCCATGGATTTTTTCCCTGGGGGGGGGGCTAAAACAAAATTTTAGTGGATACCAAGGGTTCACTGTATACCTTTAACTGTGTGTGTGTGTGTGTGAGAGAGGGGGGGTTGTCTTGTCCTGGTGGACTTGGGGGGAACAGTCAAATATATATGGACTACTAGATTTACAAAGCACAGATTGAAGCCAATTAAAGACATCACTGTGTACATTTGCTATCATCCACAGGCACTTCAACTTGCTAGAACGGTATCATTCTGATTGTTTTTTTTCATGTGTTTATTGCAGCCCTTTACAAAAAATCAAAGAAGCTTATCTCTTTCCTATTCTATGGCTGAATGAGGTTAGTGTAACTTTTCTTCTCATTATTATTTTTTTCTATTTTAGTATTTTAGGTGTGCTAATATTTGGTATAACTAGTTTTTAGGATTCCATAATTTTGAATCTTTAAAGAAAGCAAATTAAAACAAAACAAACCCCAGCGGAGGGCATTGAAACATCTGAAAACTCAAACAGGAACTTTCCTATCTTATATGATATCCCTAAAGAGAAGCAACCACTAGACTGCCTCTTCTTTTCTTTTCTTTTTTTTTCAATTCACAATTGGCCACTTTTGTTTTGGCAGAAGAGGGGCTGAGAGAATAAACATGGACCCACCTTTTCCAAACACAATTTTCCTGGGCCATTTATTTGTAATTTACCATCCATGAGTGTGTCCTTCATAAGATTGCAAAATCCAAACTAAAATTTCAGGGCCTAAGCATCTAGCTAATCAAAAAACCACACATGCACTGTGCTGTTGCATGCTGGGCCTGTGCATATGACTGTAGACAGGACATAAATTCTGTGTGCCCAATGGGACGCTGGGGCTGCCTCAGATTAAAGGCCCTTGGACCTCCCCAAAACAAAGTTCTGTAGAGGCTTAAAGTAAGTCCAACAAAGTTCTTTATTGATGAAAACAAACAGGTACTTTAAAGCTTTCTTAACAGTCTATTGGCTCTTGCAATCTTGTTCACTGGGAACAGGCACTTTCTTCATAACTGTATACTAACTAATGGGGAAATCCTTAACTTCTAATCTGGGCAGTCTGTACTTGCCTCTGTTGGCGTGGAGCCCCTGCACCCGGTACCAACTGCGTCTGGCTTCCGTGAGTGACCCTTGCCAAGCAGAGCTTTGTAGACTTCCAGGGGAAAAGAAGGAGTTCAGGTTGCTGTGATGGTTGGCTGAAGTCCCTCAGCAAAGGAGCTGTAAGGCTGCAAAATCCTTGGCCAAGCTGTGGGCTGTATAACCCCAGCCAAGCTGTAGGCTGTATATCTCCCCGACCAAGCCGTAGGGCTTTATAACCCCAGCCAAGCTGCAGGGCTGTATAACCACGGCCAAGCTGTAAAGCTGTATGTCTCCCGGCCAAGCCATAGACGATGAAGCTTTCTACAGGAGCTCTTCGTTTTATGTACTGTGCGAAAGGCTTCTCTGTGTAAACTGACTAAAATGGTTCCTCTTTCTTCCCAAAAACCCAGAAAAAAAGGGGTGGAACCAAAGCTAAATGAAGATGGACAGGGGGCTTGCCCTATGACTGCAAACTATAACAGGAAGCCACCCTGCTGCAAAATCCCAAGCCTGGGATTGCAAACAAGCATTTAATGCAAAGCAAACAGAATTGGAACTCCTGGTACAGCTGTACCAGCACATGCACACACATTTCAAGGCAGGACTCTCATCATAAGATTCTGCCCTTTCAGGACTGTAGGGCACTCCCTGGTTTCTAGGAATGCTAATCTTCTGTCTTGTAATCTTAATCAGTGGCTGTGGAGAAACTCCTGCCTTATGGAACATTCTCTTCTCAAAACCCTGCCTCCTGGTGTAGGGGGGTTTCCACAACTTTCCTGTCATGAAGCCAAGGAGAAGACAATCTGAACGCATTGCCCTTTATGAGCCAAAGTATTAAAATCAGCTAGAAGAAGAAGAAGAAGAAGAAGAAGAAGAAGAAGAAGAAGAAGAAGAAGAAGAAGAGGAAGAAGAACTTTATTTTTCTACCCCGCCTCCATCTCCCCAAAGGGACTCGGGGCGGCTTACATGGGGCCCAAGGCAGAATACAATTAAAAACAAAACAAAAACAATTAAGACAGCATAAAACAGCATAAAACAACATAACAATAATAGCAACAACAATAACAGCAGACTAATTTTGGAGGGGGGGGGAGGAAAACCACTACGAGAACTAGTTAAAGGATGAGTGGTTTAGTAAGGTGGATAACAATGTATTACGGCATAGGAAATATCATGGAAATAGAATAAATGAACAGGATCAGTTAATATAGTATAGGACATCAGAATGAATGACAAATTCAAGTCATGAAACAGGTCATTTGTCATAGGAGTCGTCAATCAAAAGCACGACAAAACATCCATGTCTTTCATTCCTAGAGAGATCCTGCTCTCGGTTCCGCTGCTATCGCAGTTGCGATTGGTGGGGACAAGAGATAGGGCCATCTTGGTGGTAGCCCCTCGGCTGTGGAACTCTCTCCCCAGCGAGATTCGATCACCCTCCTTTCTGGTCTTTAGAAAATAACTAAAAACTTGGTTATGCAAAAAAGCATTCGGTGAATGGCAACAATAATGTAGCAGATGGATGACAACATCGGAATCAGTGCAGTGTTGAAATGTTTTATATTTGTGTTTGATGGTTTATAGTTTTAATGGTTTATCTTATAGTTATATGTTATTTGTTTTAGATGTGTGGTCTGCTGTTTTTATTGTATGTGAGGAACTGAATTTTTGCAATTTATTTGATGTGAACTGCTCTGAGGCCTCCCCAGGAGTGAGAAAAACGGTATATAAACACAATAAATAAATAAGACAATAAAACTATTCAGCTATTTCTCCTTACCTCTCCAGTCAGCCTCACCCCTAGGAAGCAAAAAATTGTGCTGGAGGACCTGTATTTGGAGTTAAACAATAGGGAGCTTCTCCGTGTATCCAGCACCACAATAGATGTCAGAAGCAAATTATGCTTGGAGCATAGAGAAAGTGTCAACCCAAATGTGGCCATCAAAAGAATGGTTAGCACATCTATGTTATGAATTTGGAAAGCAATAAAATTTGCTCCTATGAAAGTGAGCAACAGATTGACATCTTAGTCAATTAGATTGCATATTTCAAACCTACTAATTATGTCGTTAATTAGCTGCTATATAGAACTGTAAACCACACCTTGTGCCCATAAATACTTCTCTGGCAACAGTGCACATAAGCTTCCAAAAACAATTCAGTCAGGAGTAGTATCTCATTAATTTTTTAGTTCAAAGAATCCTTCCAACTTTCATAATAATAATAATAATAATAATAATAATAATAATAATCTTTATTTATACCCCACCACCATCTCCCCAGTGGGAACTTGGAGCGGCTTACATGGGGCCAAGCCCAGACAACATATTGTAGCAAAATAAAACCAATACATAAACATCAAACAACATCAACAAAATTACAAAATTATTTTCTTTTTAATTATTTTTTTCTTTCTCCTCTCCCCCCTCCCCTCTCATTTCCTACTATCCTATTTGTTTAGTGTTCACCCACTTTTTAATGTAAAATCAAATGCACAATAAAAAATATTTTTTAAAAAATTACATAGAGAAAGAAAAAATAAACACAGTCATAAAATAACATTCCAATAAGCACTATCACAATAACAACGGCCGGGCCACATGTACAGGACAAAACGATTAAAAGACTCTAATAAGATAAAAATAGGAGCAGGTTATTTCCAAGGAACTCATAAAAACACACAGAGTTGTGAAGATAAACTTCCCAATTTGGAGGGCATGTACTCCAGTGGCAAAAGCGTATTATTATTAATAATAATTTAATTAATTAATAATAAAAGTGTATTATTGTTAATAATAATAATGTCCTACTGCAGAATATAGTAAGTACTGCAGCAGTAAATTGTCCCATCACAATTAGCCTAGCTCATGCATAAGCAAATTTTGGCCCTCCAGGTGTTTTGAACGTCAACTCCCAGAAATCATAACAGCCAGTAAACTGGCTGGGATGCCTGGCCTAACTCCTTACTGTTGATTTCTGCTGCTTTTTCATATAAATCACCGTTCCAACCACCTAATTCAGCCAGAATTGCATATACAACTTCTACACGTGTGGTGTGGTAAGGACGGTGGTGTTGGAAAGAGATGTACATCATCCCTAAGCCAGCACTGGCACTGGTAAGAAGTGATGAGATGCAAAGACCAACAACATCTTGGACACTGCATACTCTCCTGTTCTACAATAAAGACCTTCTTGGTGGTTGCTCCTCGGTTCTGGAATTTCCTTCCCGGGGAGACCAAATTGGCCCCTCCTTGCACTTTCAGTGGCAGACTAAAACATATTTTTTCAATAAAAGGTTTTAAAACAGAAAGTGCTATTTGGTTTTAGAAAATTGTTTTAACAGTTTTCTATTTGTTTGTTTTAATGATATTTTAATATATTTCTTTTAATAATTGTACCCTGTTTCATTCTCTTTTACAACCTTTTGTATGTTTTTATTTGAATAACTTTTTAAGTTGTGAGCTACTTTGAGTCTCAGTTCTGAGAAAAAGTGGGGTACAAATAATAATAATAATAATAATAATAATAATAATAATAATAATTCAGTGTTGCAGATGGACGATGAAAGCAACAGCTCCCCTGGTGGCCAGAAAAAGTTAATAGCCTCTGTCTATGTCTGTATATGTTTGTATGTCAAAAATTGGCATTGAATGTTTGCCATATATGTGTACACTGTAATCTGCCCTGAGTCCCCTGCGGGGTGAGAAGAGCAGAATATAAAAGCTGTAAATAAATAAATAAATAAAAATATCCAAATGTAAGTTCTTTTTTCATAGTGTGTAGGTGTATCAAAGAAATATGATGAAAAATGATACATAATGTTGTTCTTGGACTCTCTTTCTCTCTTCTTATTCCAGACAGCTGTTATTGATGACAAGAAGGCTGAGTTTTTTCGAACAAAAGTGACAAATAATATCAGATTGCTATACCTGGTGGAATCAGTGCTGATCGTTGTTGGTGCTGTCATGTTCCTTGGATTCATGGCTGCCTATTTAATATGCAGAGCACAGAAATCAAAATAGGTAACAGTTCCTTCAGAGGCACTTTTTAAAAAATTCTTTTGGGAAAAAGAAAAAACTCAGGGTAAAAAGTTTGGGTTATGAGTTATGAGTGCAAGTAGAGGCGGCCCTAGGTAATTTTCAACGGTAAGCAAACAGTATTTTGCCGCCCACCCACCCCCCCAACCAATCACTGATATATATTTTCTGTTAGTCGTGGGAGTTCTGTGTGCCATATTTGGTTCAATTCCATCATTGGTGGAGTTCAGAATGCTCTTTGATTGTAGGTGAACTATACATCCCAGTAACTACAACTCGCATATGTCAAGGTCTATTTTCCCCCAAGAGCGCCTCAAGATGGGCAAAATCAACTCTACTGCAAAGGCTTACTTTGCATAATGGTTGAGCCGCCCCTGAGTGCAAGCCCACAGAAAAGATGGAAAACCCACAAATAATTTTTTTAAAAACCACTTTTTAAACCTAAGGCACTACTTCCCTAGGAATGTTTGGGTCCTCCAACATAAAATCATACTGAAGAACCTAGAAATCACTATAAATAACATTTTAATAATAACCACAAATAAGATTCGGAAAAGATAAACCTAAAAATATGGAAGGTCAACTGTAAATTCTATCCAGTGAGTCTGTATCGTAAGAAATACTGGATGTCATCTTTCTTTCCAACCAGCTGACTGCAGACCCAATGACAACATATTGCCTCCCAAAAGGAAATGGCAATTTCAGATTTTAAGAAGGGATTTAGATAGGTATCATACACAGTTGAATAATTGCTGGTTATCATTGCTCAATGGAAATGACAACCTTGTTAGGTGGATCCAGTTGACTTGTCAAAAGCTATCGAACAATCTTAGAACTGAAATTGGAAATCCATATCCTACAGGCTATATGTTGCCATCTTTTATTTTTGTTTTCCCACTTACAGTCCTATTTGTTAAAGATAAAGCAAAGAGAATTATGATCCAGGATGAGTGATTATCTTAAGAAACAAGGTGTACTTTGCTTTTGTCAAAGTCTCAAAATAAAAGTAGGAGTGCGGATTTAAATCAGAAAATGTTGCATTGGTGGATATCCCATAGCATGGTCATGCAAGAAATGTGGGTGCTGCAACAGATCGCACAATTAGATAATCAGGAAATCCTATTCAATCCCTGCTGAATTTATAACAGCAAATAAAGCTTTACAACCAAGCCTGATACCCATGTTATGCTATTCTTATTGCTTCCAAAAAGCTTAATATGTTTATCCATTGCTATATTTATACATCAGGGCTATATTTATACATCACCCATTATAATGTCTGCACAGAGCAGTTGGGTTAACTTAGTGGCAATCATTTGTGCATTAGTGCCTTTCTAAACAGAGTACTGTTATGTGCACGGCATTTCTTTATTCATGATTTTTTACTTTCGTGGAGGTCCTGTGTGTCTCATCCCACCAAATGTGGAAGGCTGGCTGTATTAGTATACAAGTTTTCTGTGCCAAGGCAAACTGTATTCCAGGTAATTTCTATCTGACTAATCATTCATTTGTTTTTTCTGTTCTCAGGCTTCTGATCTCAAGCAAGGAAGAGCCATGATGACAACTTCTTGATGACATTCCAAATAGAATTACTGGACTATACTTTATAAAAGCAAATAACCTGAGGAAGAATCTCTATCTTGGCAAAGTTAGTGAAGGCTTGGCCTCTTGGCCACTGAAAGCCGATGACTGTGACAAGGAGCCATTCCAACACCATCGGAAAGACTAGCATGAAATTGGAATTCCTGAGGGCACCTAAACCTCCTAGTCATTGAATTTTTTTGTCCTGTGGATTTCTGAATCTGGAAATCAAGCCTGTGCTGCCATTTATGCAACTTGCTGCTGCCTGCGCACTACTTCAACCCCTCCTCAAGAATTCAAATATGGGATCAGAGGACATTGGCCTGAACTGTTTAATGAAGCCCATGTTTTAGGCCAACCAACAGCTTAGTTTGGAAAATTATGTGCAATCCTTTTTCTCCATCCAGCCGACTGAGGGAAAGAAACCTCTGAAATGAAGCTGTTGTTGCTGTCTTCCAGAGATGTGAAATAAAAATATATATTATAAAGACCAACGCTTGACTCACATGACTCCTTAGTTTATGTGTGTTTATGCTCATACCATAACAAGTGTGCACACATGCTCTGCTTAACATAAAGGGCAGCAAAAGTCACCAGAATGTTTTCTTCAAGTGCAAACTTATATCATGATTATAAATTGGTTAATAACTGAGGTTCCACTTAGCAATAAAGATACAAACACTATTTATTGGCCGTAGCTTTTATTGGTTACAGTTGGAGAGGTTTAGCTCCAACATAGGTCTAGATCCAAGCATAAGTTGAACTGCCTGCCAACTGATAGGAACTAAATATGGAAACAAATTCACATAGCAAACCTACTGAGTATTCCTTTGGAATAACGCCACCCTGAGTCGCCTTTGGGCTGACATGGGTGGGGTAAAACTGATATAAATAAAATAAATAAATAATAACAGATTTGAGATGCCATTAGGCATAAAACACTGCATTGTTCCTTTGCCAACTAAGGTTAGGACAGAACACCTGTCTCTTAGCTGAGCATTCAAGGTTTCCTTATAGAATTCCCAGTTGGGGCTGACAGGCACCTTTGTCTCGTCCAGGACCATGCTAAAATGCCCGAAGTTACGATAAACCTAAAGATAATATAAAAAAGGCCTCATCACACTAGAGAAAAATCCACTTAAAATTGGGTTTCTGCCTCCTGCAGAATTCTGGTGTTTGTAGTCTAGGGAGGAGCCTTTAACAGCCTCACTAAACTACAAACCCCAGAATTATGCAGAGGCAGAAACCAGATTTTAAGTGGATTTTTTCTCTAGTATGATGATTTAAAGATTCACATATGCTACAAAGACAGCTACAAAACTATGAATAGGAATATAGAAGGGGGTGTTAGGAGAAGCACGGGAGATTTGCCTCAGCCAGGTTTATGATGGAACTCAAGTCTTTGCTTCACTTGCAGGGAAGTTGAACACAGGCACTTCATCTCCTGCATCAAATCCAGAACATCACATTCCAGATCACCCCTGGAATAGTTCTGACCACCAGCCCCTAAGCCACGGCAGAGGCAGGAGGGCGTCATTATGTTAGCCCCCAGGGTGTGGTGGAAGCAGAAGGAAGCATTGACTATCCAGCAGTGTTGAATCCACTTTGACGCTGTTTGGATAGGCACCCTTACTGTTCCCCTTATGTTCTTATTGTAGCAATGGCCTTCAGGCACAACATGACCGGTGGCTATTGCTCATCGCTTTGGAGTGACATTGCCTGAAGTGTCAGAGTAATACAGTAGAGGTGAAGGGAAAGAGGAGGAATCACCTTTTCCTTGCCATTTATCTTCTCTGATGGCCCTATACCTCAGCCAACATCAGTCCAGTTAATGAGCAATAGCCACCAGCTATGTTGTGCCTGGAGGCCTCTGATATGACAAGAACAGGAGGGAGATGGTAGGGGCCATCCCCTGTCTCCCGTCTACCTGAACCCAGAGAATAGAGAATGGCCATTTGTTAATGTGGTTTAAGGCTGCATTCAGCAGCTTAGATGCAAATTTAACTAAATTAGTTCTAAACATCATGTAGCCACCACAGATCTCATTTCCCTTGCTAATTAGGATAAATGACTTGGTCCGACTTACGGGGACGAGTTTGTTTCGGCGCAGTGTGTCCTCACCGCCATCTTGCCCAGGGGGCTTCTTCCTCCCAGAAGCCCCCTGGGTGGCGGGAAAGTTTCCTGCCATTGGGGCCTGCCGGCCAATGGTATGCTGGCCCCACCCCATCTCTGGTGTGGCCGAGGCCAGCTTCTTCTTCCACCCGGGCAGCCTACTTAAGGCTGCCGAGGCCTTCCAACAGGCATTGGGCCTGCTCCAGCTTTTCCATATCACCCACCCTGCATGCCAATTTGTTTCAGGGATTCTTGTCAGCCTGTCATGTTAGCTTATTTTGTTAGCCTGTTGGTGTTAACTTCTCACAACTCCATGTTTGGCATGTGGCATGGTCCCTGGATCTGGCTGGTTTATCACCGCTAGGTGGAAGGGGGATAACGCCTGTGGTCCCTGGGGTGAAGAGTTTACATTGACCCATATTGTGCTGGCGGCACCCAGGCATGTAAGCAACATCGGACAGCTGCGGGCTGCCCGATTCCTGATCCAGGACCCATGCATGGCTGCCAACCCCTGTTCCTGTACTCAATAAACAAGTTGTGGCCATTTTTCACTCCAATCAACTTGCGTGTGTGTGCGTCCTTGGGTTACATGGAGGGAGGTGTATCACCCATGCACACACAAAAGGTCTATGTAGATGTGCTTGCAATCTCATCCACAATGCTACTAGGAAAACCTTTAGGCTCTGGGGAAATATTCTCCCCAAGAAAATCTACATACTTCTGGAAAGGAAAAATCTTCATCCTTTGCTTCACTCTATCTTACAAAAACATTCTTTGGTTAGTCAAGGGATGTTGTCTCTCCCCAGTCTACCCAACTCTTCCTTCAGAATTCATCTATTATACATAGTGTATTGCAAGGAGCAGGAGAAAGGTGAGAAAGGTTCTACTTAGAATGGCTGCCTTTGGAAGGAAGTGCAAAGAACTTCCCTTGACATATGGCCTTCTAAATATAGGTAATGATGCTGTTAGGACTAGACTCTAGGGTCAATGTCCGGTGACCTTGGTATAGACCCAACCCAAATGGCTACCCAAAGAGTTCATTTCTATTGTTGAACACACTTAAATGTTCTGATCACACTTAAATGTGCTTCTCCCCTCCACAACTTGAACAAAATCTTGACCTCAGTGAAATGGTGATAAATGCTTTCTTTTAGTAGACACGTGATGGCCCCAATGCATAGCTTTCATTAAACAAATGCATACTAGAATGTTATCTGCCAAATGTGAAATGGTAACATATGTATAAGTCTAGCAATAATCACCAGGTGGCAGTGCTGCCTTTCAAAGCCAGCTATATTATGCTGCAAACTGAAATCCTGGAATCTATTCCTCTATGAAGTTGAATAGCAAGTTTGCAGCATCACTTCAGTTAAATGATGCGAGTGAAATAATTTCTAAAACTGCATAGTAACATGCAAACAAACTCAGTTATGTGGCCTTAGGGAAGGCATCTCTATCCATTCATCTGCAATAAAATGCTATTGATAAACTTTACAGAGGTTTCATCATCTCAGTGCCTACAGATATGTTGGAATACAAGTCCTTAGACTATGATCTAAGGACCACAGCCTTAGACTACGATTTTTGGATGGCATGATTTTAATATTGAATGTAATTTTAAAATGTTTTATATGTATTGATTTAAATTCAATTGATTTTAAGCTTAATATTTGTATGTGTTTAAGGCACTGAGGGTTTAAAAGAGGTGGTGGTCTCTCCCCTGCTGAAGAAACCAGATTTAGTTTCTTCGGTTCCCTACAGATATCACTCAGTTTCGAATCTCTCGTTCCTGGGCAAGGTGATTGAGAGGGCAGCAGCGGAGCAGTTGCAGCAATTCCTAGACGACACAGCCGGACTAGATACCTTCCAGTCCAGCTTCTGTGTGGGGCATGGGACAGAGACTGTGCTGGTCTCCATCATGGATCACCTTCGATGCCAACTTGACCAGGGCGGGTCAGCGCTGCTTGTGTTATTGGATCTCACAGCAGCATTTGACACAGTCGACCACAATCTTTTGACCCACCGCCTTGCTGCTGTTGGAGTCAGGGGGACAGCTTTAAATTGGCTGTCCTCCTTTCTTCACAACCGTGGACAGCGAGTGGAGAGGGGAGCCTGGTCTCTGAGAGGTCCCCTCTATCTTGTGGGGTTCCTCAGGGGGCCATTCTCTCCCCTCTGTTGTTTAACATCTATATGCAACCACTTGCTCAGCTGGTTTGAGGTTTTGCGGTTGAGTGTTACCAGTACGCTGACACTCAGCTTGTGCTGAAGATGAAAGGCCGACCGGACTCTGTACCCGATTGTTTCCATCAGTGCCTTGAGGCCGTTACTGGATGGCTGTGTGCCAGCAGATTGAGGGTGAATCCAGCAAAGACGGAGAGCCTATGGCTGGGTCAACCGGGCAGTGGGGATATCCAGCTGCCTACCCTGGATGGCGAGGCGCTATCCCCGTTATCATTGGTAAAGAGTCTGGGAGTCCTTTTGGACCCTCTGCTGACAATGGAGGCCCAGGTCTCCGCTGTTAGCAGAACCACCTTTTTTCATCTGCGGCAGGCTAGACGGCTGGCCCCTACCTGTCCAGGGACGACCTAGCTACGGTGATCCAGGCTACGGTCATCTCAAGACTGGACTACTGTAACACCCTCTACATTGGCCTTCCTCTGTCGGTGATCCGGAAGCTCAAGTTGGTACAAAATGCAGCTGCTCGGCTTCTTGCGGGAATTCCGATGAGATGCCACATAACACCAATCTTACGGCAGCTGCATTGGTTACCAATTGAGCACCGGATCACTTTCAAAGTGATGGTACTTACCTTTAAGGCCTTGCATGGTCTGGGGCCGATGTACCTGAGGGACCGCCTCACCCCCTACCAACCCCATAGATCCCTCCATTCTGAGGACCAAGATTTGTTGGAAATTCCCAGTGTCAAGACCTTGCGTCTAACAGCAACCAGACGCAGAGCCTTTACAGCAGTGGCACCATCACTCTGGAATACTCTGCCACCTGAAGTCCGTGCCTTGTGGGACTTATCAGCTTTCCACAGGGCATGTAAGACATATCTGTTTTGACAGGACTTTGATATTTGATATTGCTGTTTTTAAATTGTTTTAAAATGTTTTTAAATTGTTCGATTTTAGCCTGTTCTTGTAAGCCGCTCCGAGCCCCAGGGGAGTGGCGGCATATAAGTTTGAATAATAAATAAATAAATAAATAAATAAATAAATAAATAGAATTGCCACATGAAATCTCCTTGAGTCCCCCTTGGGGTAGAGAAAGGTGGGGTATAAAAAGGGTAAATAAATAAATATAAGTGCTATAGTCGGTAGTTAGTTGAATAGCAAGTGTGCTGCATCACTTCAGTTAACTTAGGGGAACTTTTTTTTTT